ACGCTGCCCATTTTTCCTGCTTCTAACACATAAACTTTGACAATACACAATCATATCACAATAAAGTCTCCTCCTCCTCTTCTTCCTCAGGTTTCTCACATCCTGAATGTGGCCTTCGGGGTGGAGAATGTGTTTCCTGACCTGTTCATCTATAAGACTGTCAGTATTCTGGATCATCCTGACGCTGATGTACTGCTTCACATCCAGGACTGTTGTGACTTTATCCAGCAGGCTCGCAGTGAGGTAACACATAACACAATTAATTCTTAAAATAAAATGTAATATAAAATGTCTCCAAAAACAGTCCTAAAACCCTAGGAATAATAGAAAACAGAGAAAAGACGCAAATCCTCACATTTGAGAAGCTAGAATGAGAAAACCATCACTTTTCAAACTGACTTTTGACAAGTGACAAATCAGTTCAGCTCTACTGTTAACATTCAACATTTAGAAGAATGTGTATTCTCTTTAAACATTCTGTCTGCAATCACTCACCTTGTCTCTGTGTGGGAGTGTGTACATATGTGGGTGTGTGTACAGAAGAGAGAAGGGTCAGCTCCCCCTGTACCTCCCTCCTGTTGAGTTTGACCCAAACACACAAATTGTGCAATCACCATGAGTAACCCATCTTAAAACGGTGAGTAATTGCTATGTTGTATTTAAAAAGGTTTGCACATGGCAGTTACACCCACTACAGCCCTGGGTGAAACCAAATAACCAGATCAAGTCCAACAATGAGAAACAATCCCATAAGGCCAAGGGATTATGGGAAGAAGGAAACAGATGTAAGGATCTTAAAATGAAGGAAAGGTTGACTTGTGACACATGTCCTCTCCTCTCCTCTCCTCTCTTCTCTTCTCTGTTTTGAATAATATATGTTTAGTTTTGTTCATGTTTTATTAAACTGCACACAGATCAGATCTCAGTGTCATACAACCTTTTAGCAGCAAAGCCTGTGGCTCACCTTAACATGACACCACACACACACACAGCGAGTCATTAGGCAGTCATTAGGGGTGTATGATTTCAGGAAGTGTGTGTGTGTGTTCATTATGGTATGTTTCTGTGTGTGTATGTGGTAATTCCAGCCCTGATAATCAAACTGATGCTTTTACTTCGAAATACAGGGTCATATTACCCAGCCGGCCATCTGGCTGGTAAAGACCCTCAGTTATTGATGCTGTCATGACAACGAAAGGAGCAACCGCCACAGCATCATGACTGCAGCACAAATACATAAACTGGTTTACCACAGTTTTCAGCATTGTACAACGATTTATGGCTCAAGTTTTGTGAAAAAATCTTTTCTTAAATAAATTCTTGAGTCATACCCTGCTCACATTTTTGGGTCCTTTTTTAATATTTTTTAAATTTAGGAATGGTTACACCACTAAATTATTTGGGTTACATTTTCTAATGTGTACCTCTTTGTACTACCCACACAAGGTTTTAACCGTTTTTTAATTGTTTTTGGGCTTATGTTTTTAGCTTGTATTTAAATTGTAATAGTCAGGTCTGGTTTTACCTGAATGTTCAGGTTTGCACACATATTTTCATCTAAAATCACAAAATGTTTTCTGTCAGCTTTGTTGCTTTTGCTGAAAATAATGAATACAAAATTGGCTGAAATTGAATCTGAACAGTCTGTCCTGATGGAAGACTTTGCCATTTTGGTAGAAGCTCTTGTTTTCCGTCCTCCAGTAGTCAGATGAAAAGGTTGATAGCAGTTTGGTTCTGGCTGCTGTGAGGCCCAGCCCGATAATTGGGACACAGCTGTGAACTTTCCATGTGAAGGAAAATGGAGGCGGTAATGGAGAAGCTAATGGGGATCCAAAGAGTGATGAAGCCTGTTGTGGTGTGAAGCTCAGCTCCACACGCTGAAATCAACTCTGTTCTATTGGTCTGTAGAGTCCTCTAGTGTCCAGAGATTGTCACTGCAATTTATGTTTGAATCCTAGCTGCTTCATATTTCCTCTCACTGGCCCAATTCTCTCCCAAAGCCATAAACACTGGCTAACATATCAGACTGTAATTTCATAAACTGGGTATTTTCTCCCTGAAGGAAAAGTTCTGTTGGACTAAATCAACATATTTAAAGTCAAAATCCTGTCATCAAAAGACTAGGGCTGCACAATGAATTTAAATATATATTAAAAAAATAGCAATATGACCAAGATCAATATCCAAAGCAGCAAGTGTTGTAGTACTGAAGAGATGCCCTGACCTACAAATCTTGTTTTCCAGATTTAAGATTTGTTTGGTACAGACTCCAACAAAAGTCACATCATCATGATTTTAATAGTTTTTTCAGTGAAAATGAAAATTGTGATCATTCCCACTAATTGTGAATCATATTACAATTGTAATATCTGTCAAAATAATTAAGCAGAGATGCAGACTAACAAAGTGTACATAAAGGGCTCAAAAAGTCTAGGACTGTACACTTAATACACAATACAAAATAATTGTTGATTTTTGAGGTTAATGTTGCAAAGCAGTGGCAAGTATTTTTAGTCAAGTACTGCATTTCAGTATAATTTTGAGGTACTTTACTTGAATTCTTTCATCTTTTAGTGCTAGATACTTCTACTCCACTACAATTAAAGTAAGATTTAGAGGCATTTAGTTGTAGATTGCAACTCCCTCACTTCACCTTCCCCTTTAAAGCGTGAAGGAGAAATTATGGTGGCTGTGAAACACGCAAAAAGTGCAAACTGCCCCTGTCTAGAGCCAGTATTTAGTTTGTCCATTCTGGGCTACTGTAGAAGCATGACAGTTCAATATGGCCGACTCAATGGGAAGTGACCGTTGCGTCTGTAGATAAAAACGGCTGGACTGGAAGTGTTGGGTCTCTAAATTCATTCAATTCAATTAAAATTTATTTGTATAGCGCCAATTCATAACAAAAGTTATCTCAGGCCACTTTTCAAATAGAGCAGGTCTAGACCAAACCCCTTATAACATATTGAACTGGACCATTTAAACACACATCCTTTGAGCTTCATCCATGGATTTGCAAAATATAGAAAAATAGGAAACAACTCTAATGGGATGATTCTTTCTCCTTTTGTCTGCTGTAATATGGTTATAGGCAAAATGACATGTTTGGCCATAAGGCAAACTTTTATATCAGAAGATACTGCGGTAGGACTTAGGACCCCCCCCGCCCCCAGTGTCTGAATGAAATTGATGCAGCTTTGAAATATTATCATTTTTTCTGTTTTCTTCCCGCAGAAAGGCGTGGTGTTGGTCCCACTGCAATGCTGGCGTGTCCACGGGCCGCCGGCAAAAGTGGTCATTGGTTACCTGATGTCATGTGATGGCCCAGTCCTTGATGCTGCCCTCTCATTGGTCAATCCAGCTCGGCCAGTCTCAATCCCCAAACCTGGCTTCCTGGAACAGCTGAGGAAGTACAAAACGCAGATGATGAATGGATCCAAACACTAAAACAGGTCAGGGTGGTTAAACAGTTTAAGAACAAGATAAAATCTGATGTTATAGGATTTAATGATCAAAGAAAAATTGGACCAGACGATACTACGCACACCATTCACTCTTTAAAATGTTTATTGACATAAGATACCAAATGTCTAAATGTAAGGATGAATCTGTTAAAATCAAAAAAATTGATCTTCCCCTCTAGCGATATCTATTATATTTTGGGGGAATTATTGTCTACATTTTTGAGAACAAATTTGTCTTAGTCACTGTCTGTAGACAAATTCCAGTCAAATCAACATTGACATTAGAAGATGTGGAAAAATATTATCTCATCAGGAATGTTCGTAATTGATACCCCAAATTATTTAGCTATGTCTAAATGTCATGGGATATATCAACCAAAATATCCTGAAATTAGGTGTTAGTAGCTTTTTAAACCTGAGTTACAATCAATGGCCCATTGTGAATATGAACATAGGAACACATTAGGATGGACATTGTCAGGAGTTTAGAATCCTCCTGAAGACAATTTCAGTATGTTTATACAAGAGTCATTATTAACTTCAAAAAGAACCATTTTCCTTGTGTGCGGTTATATAAGATGAATGACCTTCTTTGTGTTTTGGTGCTTTTGTTGAATCTTCAGTCCATCTCTGTGTTTTGTTATGTTGGATTAATATCTGGTGGGGGTAATTCAATCCTCTGCATTTGACCTTCACCCAATTATCCTCACCTGTTTTGGAGAGTGGAAAAAGCCACAACCTCCTAGAATGTTATATTTCTAAACCATAAAATTAAATAAAAACTTAATGAAAAAGCAGAAAACAGCCTCACCGTTTTACTGTGAGTATTAAACCATCTGGTAAAGTACTTATATACACCCGATCAGCAGCCCCATACCCAACAGACTGTCTGCATGTGTGTTTCTGACCCCTTTCTATCAAGAACCAGCCATTAACTGTTTCAGCAGTTTGAGGCTACAGTAGCTCATCTGTTGGAGTCGGAACAAAGCAGAGCCCAGTGATCTGATCCCATCCTTGCCATTTGGTGCTCAAAATTGGCCCAATGCACTGTTATGAATCATCTGCTGCACTGTAAGCGGTTATGGCTTTATGCGGACTGTTGAAGGGGATAATAGAGTGATGAGTTTGTCCAGCAGGACTCATTGGGAAGGAGATGAGAAGACGGTGCATGGTCAGGCTGATGTTCAACAGGTGCCTGCTCCCACATACAACACCATCCGTGTCTGCAAGACAATCACGGGCACACACTTTAATATTACCCTCATTTGCTAAGAGGAGGAATATAAGCTTTTTCCTGCAAGACAATGTCACCAGTTAAAATAAAAGGCGCAATGAAGTGACCACAAGGTTTCCCTTGTTTAAGTGGCATCTTACTCATCATGTGTGTTTAATTTTACTTTGCTTACACAGTAGTAAGACTGGTAAAAATAGGATTCACTGCACTGCTTTTTTTAGTAAATCGCGCATGGTTGTTGGGGAACAATTTTCAAGTTGCCGGATTAATTCCACGTTTTGGTGGCTTCAAGTGAAAATCTTCAGCAGCATGGCCAGTGAGGTCCAAAATAAGCTACAGTGCCCATGTTTATCACACTGAAGGAACAGGTGGTGTTGCGCTCACTGACAGCAGGCTCCGCATAAGTGGCACCACATTGCTTTACTAAGTCGGAAGTAACAAATAACACTATATTAGAATAAATAAATGAACATGAAATCATAAAATATCTTCCCTCAAACGCATTAAAACTAAAGTGACAACTGTTTTGACAATGTAAAGGAGTGGAAAAGATACAGATATGTAGGAAGTTTAAAGTAAAACGTTTTCATGAAAATAAAGTAAAGTACAGATCCTGAAAAAAAGTACAGTAGTTACGTTGTATAATTTTACCCCAATATTTGCTGGTAAATAAGATGTCATTGTGGGTTTTGGTGCCTTAATCCTTTATTTACTAATAACTGGGACAAAATTGCAATGAATCACAGATCCACACTTTGCAAATAAAGAAACCTAACCACCGGATTGATTTCTTGATTAGAAAAATAGATTTATCATTTGATTCTGCATTGGGATTTGAAACGACCAGATATACTGGCCCCCTTAAAAGCAGAATAACCCTCCAAGGTGTTACCTGTGAAAACCATCCACATAGTATTTCATCAGTAAGACAACAGACGGCCGAGTTAAACCCAGGCAGATGCACACACTGTAACAATTTTCGTCACACAGACCCAAGGTTCTGAAGATTTGCCTTTCCTTCCTGAATTGGTGAACCTCTGCAGCGTGCCTTTCTCACTACAATTTTTGCTTCCTTTTTCCTTGCGTATATCTGACTTCCTCTCTTTGTGACGAGACCACCTGTTTCTACGCTAATCTTGAGACCGAGACAGATTTAGAACAACTTTCTTGTGTACGCCGTATGTGAAAATATTAAAAATGCCAGAATCTGACCTGTCATTGCAGAAA